TTAACACATCTACTTCCATTTCAAAGATCTATTTTGCTATCTTTTGATTGTAGTGTTTGTAATAAAAGAGAAAACATAGTGATGGTCAGTATATGATGCTACTTAGTTGGATAGCTAGCTGGCTTTGTGGAGAGTGACTTCTGACGAAGTTTTGTTTTTGTTTTTGAAGCTTTGACTCATATGTCTAGTTAAATATGTGACTAATAACTCTGCTTGGGTTTACGTTTCATGGTTAAGATTGAAAGAAAAAGTTTCTCTTTCTAAAATAGAAGAAGAAGAAGAAAATGAGCAAGAAGGGAAGGGTGTTGCTCACTGCCACCTTTTATGGTCGGAGGAGAGTACACAGTTGAAGAATCATTATTTTGCAACAACAATAATTAAGACTGGGTCAGCAAGAATTGTCCACGAAGCTAACAGGGGCGGGGGGGGGGGGGGGGAGGGGGGAGGGAGGGGAAAAATGAGGACCTAAGGGGGGGGGCTTGATGACAGGGAGGATGTTTTTACAGTCTCAAGGTATCACTTCACAGAATGGCTATTAGTTGCAAAGGAAAGTACAGCAACTACACAATGGAAAAATCCGACAGTACTTTGAGCAGGTGATCAAACTTGGCCTCACCAATGAAGAGTCACCACGATGCTCTAAGAAGGACACAGCATCATCTACATAATATTCCAACCATGGCGGCATAACCTGAATCTAATCATTAGGGAACATCAAACAAGCCCCAAATGAAGAACAGTATAATCAGGAAATAAAAGGGAACATTCACTGTCACTAATGACAAAGAAATGCTGAGAAAAATGTTCCAAGTTAGAGGAACACCTGTTCCCTAGAATATAAAAGACATTGTTATGTCCTTTCTATGTTATAATGAGGTCTACCAGGCCAATTATCAAAATTGGATTATCAATGTGTGAATTATAGACTAGGAAAAATATTCCATCAATGCTACATTTCCCAAAGTTGATAACTGGACTGTTGGTTATGTAAAAACAAATGTCCTTATTCTTAGGACATGAATGGCAAAATATTTAGCGGTAAAGGCCATGCAATATGCAACTTACTCTCAACTAGGTCAGATAAATATATTTGCGAGGGCTTCAAAAAGTTTGTGGAAAATGTAATTAAAAGATAATTTTTCACAATAATTCTGAGGCTCCTTCATATGTGTGTGTCTATAGAGAGAATGGAGGTCAATGGGAAAAGAAAAGGGACAAAATATTAACTAAAGGTGAATCTGGGAAAAGGATATCCAGCCATGCTTTGTGCTAGTCTGGCAACATTTCTATAATTTTGAAATCATTTCTAATTTTAAAATGTAGGACATAATAATATATGATCCTCTGCTTACAACTGAGACTTGCTGACATAGCATTAATGACTGAATTATAATAATGGAAGTTTATTGTCATTACTGTTGTTAGGTTGCCATCTAGCTGGTTCCAGCTCATAGTGACCCTATGTACAATAGCATCAAAACACTTCCAATCCTGTGCTATCTTCACAATTGTTCGTAGGTTGGAGCCCATTGTTGCAGGTATTGTGTTAATCCATTCCCTTGATGGAACTCATCTTTATCAAGCAGTGTCCTTTTCCAGGGATTGGTCTCTCCTGATAACATGGCCAAAGTACATGAGACAAAGTTTTGTCAAAGATGCTTTCAATATTCACAATTATCATCAATATTCAATCATCAGCATGACCAACAGAGTAAAGATTGAAGTCAAGGATTTCATCTTGCTGGGATCCATATCAACGCTCATAGAGGCAGCAGTCAAGAAAGCATACAATGCATTGCATTGGATAAATCTGCTGTACAAGACCTCGTTAAAGTATTGTGGAGCAAGGATGTCACTTTGAGGACTAAGGTGCATCTGGCCCAAGCCATGGAATTTTCAATTGCCTCACATGCATGTGAAAGTTGAACACTGAATACGGGAAACTGCAGAAGAATCAATGCATGTGAATGATGGTACTGTTGAAGAATAAGGAAAGTACCATGGTCTGCCAGAAGAACAAAGGAAAGAGATGCCTTGTTGAAGGGGCAAAGACCTCAAAAGGGGAATCCATGAACCTGAGTTGTGGTGGAGAGTCTTTGCATGAGAAGGGGAAAGGAAACTGCTATCTTTGAGGCACTATATTATAGGCTACCTGGTCCAGAAAAAGGTTATGGCCAATAGCTTCAGAATGCAAATTGGAAAATGGAAACGGTGGCAAGACAAAACAGTAACCAGATAGACAAACATCCAAACATCTGTTGGACTTCTCATTCTTCTCCTAACAGCATCCATTGAGGTATTTTAAGATCTTAGAAGGGTGGGAAGAAAGTTAAAAGAGAAGAACATTAATTAAAACCCCAAAACAAAACAAAACAAAACATCAGCAAGCAGGGGCACCATTTCTCCATATTTAATGCTAGCCAAAAGGAAGGAATTTCTGGATAAAGAGCATGTGATAAAACGTCCATGCAAAGTAGCTCTCAGGGTGACATCCTTGCTCTACAATACTTTAATGAGGTCTTGTACAGCAGATTTGTCTAATGCAATGCATTGTATGTTTTCTTGACTGCTGCCTCTATGAGCGCTGATTGAGTAGAGCAGGCTGGTAGGCAGGACAGAGACCTTCACCTTCATGTGTATTCCTAGTAATATAATGTCATCTTATGGCCCCTAGTCCCTGTCCTATTCAATGTTTCCAACAATAATTGGGAGAAGATATACAAGGCAGGTTTGGAGGGAAAAACAAATGCGTTGGAAGGCAGAATGTAGATTCAAACGGATTTGGGCATAAAGAGATGAGGAGTCAACTAAGCAAATACAATATAAAAGGAATTGATTCAAGGGGTTTTGTTTCTGTTGAGGCCCTCAGTTTCTTCCAGCTTTGGAAGAACTATAGATATCAATTTCCCTGGTAGTACAATGGTGAAGTGTTCAGGTACCAACTGAAAGGTTCTTGATTCAAACCCACCAGTGAGCCCACAGGAGGAAAAAACATAGCGATCTGTTCATGTAAAGATTACAGCCTATGGTTGCTAGGAGTCAGAATCAAGTAGCCCGCACACAAAAATATGCTGTCAGCAGTCAGCATGGCCGCCAAAAGGAGGAGTGGGGTGGGGGGGGATGGGGGATATATAAGACAATTTAAGCTATCTTGTGTGTTGATCAGACCACTTCTGGAATACTGTATTCACTTTTCTTGATAGTACATTTTATGAGGGACTTTGACCAACAGATAGGTGTTTGTAAAAGGGGTATTCGGATAGTAAAGGGTCTGAAAACCATTCACATGAAGAGCAATTGAAAGAACGGACGCTGCTGATGCTGAAAAAGAGAACATGTACAAGTGACATACGTAAGAGCTACCTAACATTATCTCAAGAACTGTCATGTGAAAGATTAGATCTTTTTAGTGAGGCACAAAAGGCTAGAACTAACTGGAAACTGCAGTTCAATTCAAGGAGTGATATGCTTGAAACGCAACAAGCTTGGGTTCAAATCTTCACTCCACCATTTTGTAGCTCTGTGACTTAACCTGAGCCTCAGTTTCATCATCTATAAAACAGAATCAAAATCACCCATCTCATAAGGCTAAGAAAGAACTCATGTGAAACTAAATGAGATTATAAATGTGGGGGAGTTTCAAATATACATGTAAATAAACCTGTAAATAGATGGGCAAATTATTATTGCCATTTTTATTTACAAAGAGGAAAATGTAGGCCTATTCAAAGGGAACACTGACAAGTATTCGCAAATGCATCACAAATGAATCGGCTGTTTGGTTGGAAGTGAGCCCTCCATCACTAATAATGTTCAAGCAGAGATGGATCCATCATTTACTGTTTGATAGAAGACAAGAAGAGTAGACTACCTGACTTCTAAGATTGCTTACAATTCTAAGATGGTACGATTCTATTGCTGAGAAGCACTATCCTTTCAGTTGTCTTTATAAAGTATGGCATCCGCTTGATAACCTTTAGCTCTTTGTTACTTCTTGGACATGTCCTCAGCTCCCACAAGATGACTGCTCGCTCCAAATCAGTAAGGCACAGCACGGTTGCTGGCTCAAGGGCTTTTCAGAGCATTCAGACAAGTGCAAAAAAAGAGTATTGGTGAGACCTTTTGAGTTTATGACCTCACAACCTGAGGAAGCACCAGGAACATAACTACGTAGGCCAAGTGGCTTGGGGTAGAGCTGCACGAGGCAAGTGTTTCTCAAGAATCTGACCTCAAGTGTCCTCTCCCTTACCACCTCACCATCTGTCCCAGAACTGGCACTAAAACACCGATCAAGCCGGTTAAGTCAGAAAACTGCTTCTCAAGCCAACCAGTGAACTCAGACACAGAAGCAAAAACACAAGGGTAAAGGAAAACGCTGATTTGAGGCTATACAGATGTAGGGTTAGGGTAGAAAGCAGTCCCAGTCTTGAATCCAGCTGTAATTTCCAATGTTTCTCAGCCCACTGAGGGCAAGTGCCAACCAATGAATTAGGTGTTGATCCTGCTCTGATTCACCAGAAGGTGAAACCACAGCATGTGAGCTAAACAGTGGCGTTTTAATACCTTTGTGTTGTCGGCTTGCACATTTGTGTATTTGGTGACTTTGGGGAGAAAAGGGAGAAAGGGTAAAAGAGTCACAGAGGCAAAAAAAAAAAAAGAAGCCTGTCACGATGTTCAGTGACATAAATCGGAGTCTTTGAAAATATGATTGTTTTCCATGGTAATGAAGTAGACGAAGAGTCAAGGAGAAAGACCTCCACACCCATAAAATCGGCAAATTCTGAACCGGGCTCTGACCTGGGAGCGCAGAGGTACATGGGTTAACTGAAAAATGGTTAAGGCTACAGAAACAAATGGGAGGGACCCCAGTGACCGCCCAGAAAGAAAACACACAACTTGGCTTGCCACCCATCAGGAAGGTCTTTGCAATGCCCTGGGGGAGCTTACACTGTCTATGAAACACTATACTAAACAACCTAACATGTCTTACAAACACTTGCCTCGTGGCGCCCCGGCCATTCTTGAGCAGCTTACTGCTTCCTTACATTTCCTTATCTCTGGCCACAGGCCCCAACTACACCATGACTTACTGATGAAGTTAGCCTGGCCAGTGAATATGGTGTACTGAAGCTCATAGGAGCTGATGCTGAACTCATCGTCTGAGATCCAGTGCACTGTAATGGTGTCATGGGAGGCTGTACAGAGTTCTTCTCGGATAGATGGTGGATTAGGGGCTGTAAAGAAAGAAGGGAAAGATTATCAAAGCACATTGTCTGGTCTGGAAATTTACCATAGTTACTTGTACTATCCAATCCAACATCTCTTAAAATAGAGGTTTTCTCAATAGAAAAGCTTTAGGTAATATCTGCTGTACCACTTGAAGCTATCCAAAACTATGTTTGCATCAACAGTGAATGTGTTTAAAGCACAGGATATAAACCTACATTATTGCCATACAGGGTACGATGTAGCAACGATGAAAAATACAAATTTCCTCTAGTTCCTAAATGCTTCCTCCCCACCCCCACCATCATGATACGAATTCTACCTTGCAAGTCTTGCTAGACCAGAGGATGTACACTGGCATTACGGATAGGAACTGGAAATACAGGGAATCCAGGGCGGATGATCCCTTCAGGATCAATAGTGTGAGTGGCAATACTGGGAGGGTAGAGAGAGAGTGGGTTG